CATCATCATCATCATCATCATCATCATCATCATCATTATCAGTACTATTGGTGTCATTGGCACCTCCTTCCTCACAGATTGCATCATTGTCACATATTCGATGGGATGGGTTTACAACATCAACAACAACATTGTCGTCGTCACCATCGGTATCCTTCACTTTTCTCACCGACCTCTATAACATACTGCTGCACCTTTTCTCGATTATATTATAAAAGAGGTTGTTTATTTCTGCTAACATTATTATTATTATTATTATTATTGCTGCAATAACAACAACAACAACAACAACAGCAATTGCTACAATAACTGATACGAATATTTTGAAGACGAAAAAAAGGAAAGGATCAGCAGTGCTGACCTTATCGATTTAATTATTAACTTAATATTACTTTTGCCATACATTTGCACTGTTATCTGAAGAACTATTATTCCGCTAAAAATTAATTGAAATTTTGCTAGCTATTCGTTAAATAAATATATAAATTATTCGAATTTACTGATTTTTCTTTCTAGCATAGATAAGCAGTAAATTTTATATTTTCCAATCAAAATTTCAAAAAAAAAACCCAAGCAAACTGAAAAATAAACAAATAAACAAACGAAGAACGAAAAGAATGATGTTTTCATTATTATCATTTCTACGATTAATGTGTATTATATTATCTGTCGACTATTTAATAATCACGTATGCATATGCTGAAAATGAAACTTTGTTGGAAACTTATCGAACCACAGAGTAAGCTAATTTTTCCATTTTTTTTATGTCTACAAATATTCTTTTTTCTGCTAAATTTTGAATTTCATAAGTGTGATACTGGATGAATTAATTAGAAATCGATAAACATTTGTTGCAATAATTTCTTCAACTCGAACAGTATTATTTTAGTTTTAGGATACTTTGCAAAAAAAAGTCGGAATGCACTCATTAAATGATCAAAAGTTACAGATAACATTCTTTCTTTCTCCCTTTCTCCCTCTCTCTCACTCTATTCTGTCTCTTTCTCTTTTTCATAGTTAATTTTTCAATTTATCAGTAGAATTCCCTTAGCTAATAATTATTTTATTTTATTTCCTACAACTGCACGTGATATCGATGGGATTGCAATATATTGATTATTCAAATTATTATTTATTCAAGTTTTGATGAGAATAATATTATAGAATAACTTATTGCTAAATTAGTACCTCTTTCTTTTCTAAATTAATAGCAAATTTTAATTTAAATTCAGAAATTATAAATATTTTGCTTTAATTATTCGACAAGGAAGAGGTAATGACAGCATTTAATTATCCTTTTTCTTCTTTTCATTTATGAAATTACGCAAATTTTGAATATTTTAATTAATTTTTACGCAGTATCATTTATGAATGTCATATCCCATTCACAATCGGATCGGCACATTCAAAATATTATTTATACCTTTTGAAATTACAACAATCATCAAATATTTCAACTTTTTTCTTCTTTTCACCGAATATCAATTCATTTATTAATGAATTTCATATCGAGTTTTGATTAAAGATCTGATTTCCAATCTTTTTTTTCCTTTTTTTTTGTCATAAATTTGTAACTAAATACAAAATTACTTCAATACATCAAACGTTTGTGTATCCTAAAATGAGTTAAAATAAAAGGGAAATATAATATAATTAATTAGTTTCAGATTGTTTATCCTTCATTAATTCATTAGCAAAACGTTACAATCTTCTCATTTATAATAAATTAAATGTTAATTTGAAATCGGATTAACTTTCGGTAAATAACTTCAAATTGGAAAAAAAGATTTTCAACTTTCAAGATATTTCTGCAAATAAAAAGGTTTTCATTTAAGAATTGCTAAATAATTAAATAAATGAAACATTTATTTATTTGTTTGCTTTTATGCATTAAACTTTTAGAAGTTGGATAAGAAAAAATTAGAGGGAAAAAACATCTTCACCTCTCGAATTGTGCGCTAATTCCCTAATGAAAAGTGTATATGGGAGGAAATAACTAAAAAAAGAATTAATTTGGGTGATTATAGCGGATGCGGAACAACTTTTATGCAATCTTATTAAATTTCTCAGAGTTTTATTTAATTCCAAAATTATTATTCAAATTTATAATGAAATATTATTTAATTTTGCACATGAGTAATCGCATTTAAATCATTTTAAAAAATTGCTATACAATTGATTTGAATTTTAAATTTACCTAATTAAATTCACGACATTTGTTTTAGGATGTAATGGAATTGAGCTTTCCATTAAGACATTTTTTTTCGTCTCATGAAAAAGTGGTCTGTGTGTTTCATTTCCAAGGAAGAGTTACTTCAATATGAAATTCATTTCTTTTTTTCTTTTTTAAAAAAAAATTTTTTTTGCAAAATTTGAGAATTGACAAAACATCACGAAAAATTGATGGGCCGAAACGAAAGGATTTGTTGAATGATCGTGAAATTATCGACAATTTACTTCGCAATTATCGATTCCCAGGTATTGTACACTTTCGCAGGAATTTTTATTGATCGATTTGCCTTGGATTAAAATAGTTTGGTTAAATGTCAAAATTTTTATGGAGTTAAAGATCCCGAATTTGCTATCTTCGGATAACTGAATGCATTCAGATATATGAATGCTCAAGATTATCAGGTAATCAATATAAGGTAAGCTCATGATAATAAGAACTTTAGGCATTCATAAAATCATTTCATTTTTCACACATTATGTTTCAAGGATCATTTCATGTTTCTTTGATCCGTATAAGTACACCTCATACCTTCCCGGGGCTCATACACTCCCAAACTTCTTCGTCACTTTCTTCTTTCTTTTCTCAAATGTTTATTGCATTTGAAAGCATCAAAACGGAAACGCTACTTATGTTCACGTGTACATTGGTTATATCCACGTATTCACGTGCACATAGTTTATATAAAATATTTTCATCATTTCCAGTAATGAATGTTGCAATACGTTTGTGGAAAGCTTACTTACGAGATAAAAACAAAGTTTTCTTTTCTTTTAAAAAAAAAGGTAAACACCCATTCTTTTCACCCTTAAATTTCATGTCACTAATTAATTAACAGTTCTTCAATTTCAGATTCATCAAGTAATATAACTGTTACTGTACATATTTCAATCGATCGTATATTGAACGATATGGAACATGAAGTTAGTGAAGATTTTCTATTATAAAAATTTAGTTAGAAAAAATTTCACTTCAATATTTCGAAATTTTCTTTGTTCACTTTTTCTTCTTTTCTATTTTCAAATGAATGATTATTAATAATTTATGGTTTGTAATGATTAGAGAGAAAGAGAAAGAGAGAGAGAGCGGGGGAAAAAGAAAGAAAAGAAAATGTTTATTTTCTTTTTACTAGCAATTTACATTGTAAAATAGAAATAAGTAAATAAAATGCTTGCGATTCTTAAAGGTAAAAAAAAACTTCCGTATTGTAGAATGTGTATGTATATGTGTATATTTATGTGATAAATGCTTATATAACGTGCGTGATAAACAAAATATTTATACGTGCAAACGACGTAAAAATGTTGAAAAGAAAAAAAGGAGACAATTTTATGATATTGTAGTGCAGTTTTTGGTTAACAATAAGGCAGAAATGGGTGGAAAAGCCATTAATTTATGAAAAAGAACGGCCAAATGGTGGGCGGATACGATTGCGCTCAAGTGAATATTTGGTTCCACTCCAACTTTTTTTCATTTTATCAATTTTGCTGTAATTTTTTTTTTTTTTAAAAACGAGCAAGGAAACTGCTTTAAAACGAGATTGTTCGATTTGCCCCATACAACATCAATTATCTATCGAGAAGGTATATTATTTTCTGAATTATATGATCATTTTTAGGCTCATACATTTGGAATCCACTAATTACAATATTAAATGCATTCGATATGCGAATGATTGGAAAAGAAGAAGTGCAATTACATAGCAATGGAATGGTCGAACTTATACAAAAGTTTATAAACTTTTTAAAATCTATTTCGTCATTTCCTTTCCTTTTATTGAATTTTCATCTTGACTGTGCAAATTTTGTGCCATTTTCAAAGTCTCGATTCAACAATTTGTTCAATGAAAATGAGGAAATGAAAAGAACGGAAAGAATTAGAATGAAAAAGAAAAAATAATAATTATCATGATAAAATGGATACATAAATTTCGGTTGAAATTTTCTGAATTTCTAAAAAAAAAATTTCAAAACTTTTGTTATGCTTCATTTCATACAATAAAATTGGCAACAATAATACATTGAAGATTATGGGTAAAAACAATAGAAATTCACGAATTGCATTCATTTCCATTCGATGAACGAAACTGTTCCCTAATCTTCCACAACGGTAATCATTTCTCTCTTCAAGAAATTAATTATTTATGAAATTCATTCTGTTCAATCAAAAGATGAACAAGAGTTTGTGCCAATTCAGCTAAATCATAAGAAAATTTACGCAAAAGTTGAAGATTAAATAGAAGTAACGAAGATTGTTAAAGGAATGTTAAGATAAGAAAGAGAAGGAATTAAATTAAATTTTTTTTTCGATAATTGATATGAATGAAATAATTCTGAAACTTGTTTCATTGCTTTTTTTAGTTTTATGGAATAATTTCAGAAGATTTACGAGCTCAATGGACAGGAGTAACATCAATTACAGTACCAAAAGTTGGCTGGGGCATTTGGGTGGTACTTGGCTGTGAGCGAATTGGTAAAACTATTGTTTTAAGCTTGAGGAGGTACTTTTCATATTAAAGATTTTGAAATTTAGAATTTCTTTTTTGTTTTGAATGAAAAAAAAGAAGTGGGAATAAAGTTTTGATTTTCTTAAAATTTAATTTAAATTTTAAATTAAATAGAAAATTTGCGAATTTTATCACTATACATCATTGCTAATATTTTAAACATTTCAAGTAATTGTTGAGATTGTTATTACATTCAAATGTTTTCAAATTCCTTTTTATTCAAACCTCAATTCATCTAATCAAATGTCAATATTTTTTATTAGTTTTATTTCAGAACTTCATTTTATTCCAGGTCAATAACAATGTGGATTTGGACATTATACGCGCCAACAACTCTTCTCTTTGTTTGTTCGTGGTTATCACTTTGGGCTACAAGTAATTCAGCCAAGAATCGTTTTGTTATTAGTACTACGAGTTTTTTCACTGTACTCATCATTGTAAGTGTTAAATTTAGTGTTTAATAAAATATATAAAATA